GTCACACTCTCAGGTCACTAAGACCACCTCTAATCCAATTTCCTTTTCAGGTACCTCCATAAGAACCCTTCCACGGTGTGGGCAACCGGGAAGTGATAACCGCCCCCATACCTCTAACAGCACTCAAGACCACTGTATTCATAATCAACCTCCCACTTCAATTCCTATATTTAAGCAATTATCATTTAAAATAGAATACGGAATATGTGTATAGGATATTACATATGATCAAGTATGAACTTTCATACAGACATCATTTTAATAATAATAGTATTGAATTGGTTGAAGTTAAACATTAACACCATTGGCTGTTGATTTAGTGATGAATCCTGGGTTCGAATCCCGTGAGGCGGGATTGTGGATGCGCAATGTTGAGGAACCCCATGCTAGGACAAAACGGCCATCTAGTGCTTCCAGGTTTTCTATGATGGTCTCGCTTCAATTGACTCATGAATTCAACTATTAAAACTGAATACTATTCTCTCGAACATTCTGTACATGATTTATTTAGAAAGCTTTAAATAACATTCCTGTGTTTATAGGATCATTTATATGTTGCACTTGGTAATTATCTTACATCCTTTATCATTTTGTATATATTGCAATTTAGGTTTGATTAAAGATGGAACAACTATTGGCTGAATAACTTGGTTGTAATATTTGTTTAAGTAATGATGCACATTACAATATCTTATGTATGATGGTGAGTATGAGTAATGTGGAACTTTCAACTGGAAGAAACATACCCAGAGAAACTACAGTAAATAAAAAACTTGTTTTTATTCAACTCAAGTTCAAAGGCGAAAATGTCACAGGGTCAATCAATATGAGACTAAGAACTGCACTGACAAAAACATATCCTGCAGCTAAATTGATTGTCCTGTCCAAAACGACATGTTCTTTGACACAATCAAAGGTCGACAAGTATCCCTTTCATGTTACCACCAACTGTGTATACAAATTTACATGTATCTGCCAAAGCAGTTACATTGGTAGAACAGAAAGGAGAGCCTACGTCCAATTCAAAGAACATATTCCGAACAGTTTGAGATCAAACGGACTAAAAGCATTTGGCAGCGCTGTCGCAACACATCTCATTGACACAGGACACGAAGTCGATATACTGAAGTCCTTCAAGGTGATCAACAAACAATCAAATTCAAACCTTTTGAAATTCGCGGAAGCAATAGCAATTAAACGTTTAAAATGAATTCATTTATTATTCTGAACAATATCAAGTGAAAATTCACTTGCTATTGTTCACTTGTATCTGCTCATTTTTGTTAAGGTCCACAATTGATAAGTCTCTTGTTGGTATATGTTCATCATATGTGGACTGCCTCGATATTGCCTTCAGTCACAAGTTTTATAAAAAAAGATGGATGGTGGCTAGCAATGGAATCCAGTTTGACGTGAGACACTTCGTCCTGCTTGGGACTCATGAGTAGAATGTGCTTGCATTAACTCTAGGATTCAGGTACATCCAGTTGACAAGTTGGAGAGACCCTGTCATATTACTATTGCCGGTATAATTTTTATACAGGATCAATGGAAGATATTTTGTGTAGCTTAAGTATCCTTTGACACAAGTTGAGATTTCATAAGAATTCTACACAACATATAATACAACCCGATCTGTAAACACAGATCTGTGTATATGTTTGTAGTGACCTACTTTTATCAAGAGAACGCGATTGGTTTAATAAAAACAATTATTATTATAACCAAGTGTACCAGTGATTGTTTTACTGTACTTGTTTGTTTAACTGTACTAAAGACATTCTTCCTTCCGTTGATTGTGACCTTGCACAAACTTACGTTTGCTCAGTGATTCCGTTTGTACTCCTTTGGCACGATCTCAGTATTATTTCGATACCACGAGATCGTCAACAAATATATCTCGCTACAACCTTCAATCGCGTTCTGATATCTGGTACGCAATCTTCTTGTAGTGGTGGTCGTATTCAACCGCGACTCGACGCCACGCTACATGTTAACCAGATATTTTCCTCAATATACTTAATTGAACTTGTTATTTCAAGACAGATGATTAAACCGTATGATATCACTTAGTATATTGACGTCTAAACTTATTTGGAAAAATAAACCATATGCTTACCCCCTTGATTAAACTGTAGAAGCACATTGTTAAACATGTAAGCGTAAAGATGTAGACTTCTTAAATATTGTCTATCAATGATTCAAAGACAGAAAGTGACTTGAATAAACTGTGGCTACTGCTGGTCCCAAGCCTGGATAAAGGAGAAGGGTTGGGTATGGGGTTAGCGACCCCATTCCGTAGAAAAGTAACTCGCTAAAACAACGCTAACCGGAAAAAATAATTCAAACTAATACTGTTCGAGTGTACCGTCATTATTAAGGGTATGCTTGAAATCAACAATTAAGTTTCATCACATCTTTCAGAAGCAGTGAAATCCCTTAACCTTCCGCTACCAGGAGTTTTACTTTCGACTGACGATATATACTACTCATGTCTGTCGACATCAGTAGCACACAACACAATATGAGAACTGTTTGAGAATGATTTGGGTTCACTAAAATATAAAAATGGTATTAAGTTGCATAAGATTTCTAGTCAAATTAATATAAAGTGGTCATTTTAAAAATTGTGATCAAATTAAGATTGAAATTAGCCATTGTTAAGTAAGTTCAAGATAATCCAAGATAAATCTCAACAACAGGTTCCATGCCTTACAGGATCTACTGAAAGAAGAATCTATCATTGAGGAAAACTGGAAAGCGGTTAAAGAAGCATTAACCTCAACGTGTCAGGAGGTTCTGGGCCTAAAGAAGCATCACCGTAAGGAATGAATCTCTATGGAAACCCTGGACAAGATTCACGAAAAGAAGAATAAGAAGACAGCAATTAACAACAACCGAACACTAGTAGAGAAAGTCAAGGCACAAGCTGAGTACACAGAAGCAAACAAGTAAATGAAGAAGAGAATTAAAGCCGACAATCAGAAATACGTAGAAGAACTAGCAACGACGGTGAAAACAGCTGCAAGAGAAGGAAATATGAAACCACTACATAATACAACGAAGAAACCATCTGGGAAATTTAGTAAACCAAAGAGACCAGTCAAGGACAAATAAAGAAAGAAAGTCACAGAGATTTAAGAACAGAGGGACAGATAAGTAGAATACTTCGAGGAACTGTTGAATGGAGCAACTCCATTGAATCCACCGAACATCGAAGCAGCACACACAGACTTTTGTATAGACGTCAATCCGGCAACGACGGAAGAAATCAGAATGGCCATCAGACAAATATAGAGCGGAAAAGCAGCAGATCATCTAGTTCATCTATCCCATACAAACGGACAAACAACTAGTGTAGCAGCAGCAACAGCCTCTGAATCAGTATGGTGCCCCGGCAGGTGTTCTTGTTCACTACACTGCTATTGGGTCACTATTGTTTTGAACATTCAACATTCATACGGTGTATAAAAGAAGTAGCCATTCATTTAAGTGTATTGGATTCTATTATCACTATCATCATCACCATTGCCATCAACAACTATCTTAATTGTATAGTAATATTAGAAAACTTTGAATAAACTATCTTGTAAACAAAAGAACAAGTACCTCTTTTACTTGACATTAAGATAATCTAAGTATACTTAACAAAACTTTAGGTCATTTATCTAAGGTGAAGTATTACATATTGAATTGATCTATAACTATACAATGAGTATTTAGTTACCATTCATATTAAGAGGTTTCAATTCAACATTTCTTACCAATGACACTCCTTGGATATGTATATAAATTACTTGAAAAATATGAATTAGGCATATAGTTTGAAAAAGCGATGAAACTCTCTTTGATGTGCATTACAGTTATATGTATATATTATCTTGGTAGGTAAACAGTAACAGTTTAATAAGTTGTTACTCTCATTGAATCATGAAACTTCTTTTTGATTTATAAACAAAGATAGATAATGGTTAGTAATCGAATCCAGTTTGATGCGTGTTTCGTCCCATTTAGGACTCATCAGACGGATGTACCTGTATCTGAGAGTTGATATTCATTCTGGGACTCGAACTCAGTATCATTCGGTTCAAATGCCACCATGTTATCCACTTAGCTAATTAGTCCTGATATCCATCTACTTGTACATTGGGGTGAAGTTATATTCACTTGATGTTGTTTACTTGTATCCTTCCATTGTTATTTAAGACTGCAATTTATCATTCTTAATGACCCTCCTCCTTTACGGGGATTGGCAGTAACTCTAAGAGAGCTACAGGAGGAGGTTATTATGTTTATTAACATTCAAGAATTCTCCTGAAGCCCAAAGTCATCTAAAATACCCTAGATTTCTTGTACATAAAACGTTTCTACCATATTTCTCACCTTTTCTTTTGTATCCAAGTTACTGTTTAGATTTAACCTGGAGGGGGGTTACTAGAAGAGCTTAAGAAACGGAATCTAATGTTCTATTAAAAGACTTATTCGTTTCTATCACTGTTACAGTTGTTTCATAAAACAACTATACAGTAAAAAAACATAAACTGTGTTTACTATTTCAGGGCTCATTTATCCAGTGGTGGGAGATACTGCTCTTGATGAAATGAAAAGTAAGATATAATGTTTTTAAAGAAATTTTATATTAGTTTGATCAATTACATATCCATCATCTTTAGATATTCCACCTGAACTATTTTGAAAAGACATACTCAAACATATGTCCTTGTCAGAATGGGTTTTGTGGAGATTTTAGAAATTTCACTGGTTGAAATCATGAGTCAATTGAAGCTAGATCACCATGGAAAACCTGAAAGCACTGGACGGCTGTTTCGTCCTAGTATGGGACTCCTCGGCAGTGCGTATCCACCATCCCGCCCCCCCTGTGAGATTCGAACCCTTGTGATGATTACTTGTTCTATACTATTTCAGTGTAAATAACCATTCATTCGAAATAGCATATAGTTTCTCAATAAAAATACACAAAGTTATTGAGTGTTGATGAAATGAATAGAAGACGACGTTTAGCTGTTCGATACTATGAAGAAACATTCCTAGGTGTGTTATATGTGATAAGACAGATTATAAATTACACAGTCTTCACGAATCTTGTAGTCTTGTGTCCTTATCAGTATATGATGTAATGATACCACCAATTGGAGAACAGTGATTTATTGACCGGACCAATGATGCATAAACCCGTACGAGTAGTCTAGACAACAATATCGGTCCTTCTTCTAGCCTAACCCTATCTGTTGAGTCCAGAACATAAATCTCAGCCTCCGTGATATGAATCATGTATTTCAAACATATGGGGTTTATGTACCAACTATACAGACCACATCGTACCATAAAATAGAAAACAACATTTATACAAGATTTAGCCAATCAAAATTGGCGGAGAAGATCTGGAAGATGTAAAAACCTTTACATATTTGGGCAGCATCATTGATGAACACGGAGGGTCTGATACAGATGTGAAGGCACGGATTGGCAATGCAAGAGCAGCATATTTACAACTGAAAAACATCTGGAACTAAAAACAACTGTCAACGAACACCAATGTCAGAATTTTCAATAGAAATGTCAAGATAGTTCTACTGTATGGGGCAGAAACCTGGAGAACTACGAAAGCCATCACCCTGAAGGTACAAGAGTTTATGAACAGTTGTCTAGGCAAAATACTTCGTATACGTTGGCCAAACACTACAATATCAGCAACAACCTACAGTGAGAGAGAATAAACCAGAACAAACTAGTCGAGGAAGAAATCAGGAAGAAGCGCTGGAAGTGGATAGGACACACATTGAGGAAAGCACCCAAATTCGTAACAAGACAAGCTCCCACATGAAATCCTCAAGAACAAAGGAGAAGAGGAAGATCAAAGAAGAACACATTACGCCGAGAAATGGAGACAGATATGAGAAAAATAAACAACTATTGGATAGAACTATGAGGGAAGGTTCAGGACAGAGTGAGTTGGCTGGAGAATGGTGATCGGCGGCCTATGCTCCATTGTGGGTAACAGGCATAAGTAAGTAAGAAGTGGCTGTGAATATGAAGGACTGTAATTGATAGACTGGGCATAACTCAAGAATAGCAAATTGTATAATAATAGTCTATGGGTCAAGATGAAGCTTATACTAAGAGGAATATAGATGTACATGATCTAGTTACTCAATAGTTATAGAATAAGAATTTATGTACCATTTTAGTACAGAAATGGATCCCAACAGTAACCATCCACTATTCTGGTCAGGGTGTAACAAATATGAAGGTTAATTTCAATTGTGAACCAAAATTCTTTTGTTAGGATTTTTATATCTCCTTTTCTTTTCTTTTTTTCTTTTTTTTAAGGCAAACTTTACGTAGCTTTACACAGTTACGCTGAAGCACATGAACAACTTGAACAGACTAAAAGTGAGTAACCATTTACCTTTAACATAATCCATAATTCGTGTATTGGTTGTTGAGGTTAGACAATAACACCGTTGAATGCTGACTCAATAGTTCAGAAGTTAAGCATTCACATGCGAGGCTGAAGAACTTGGGTTCGAATCCCGTGAGCAGGATCATGGATGCGCACTTCTGAAGAGCTCCACAATAGGACGAAATGACTGTCCAGTACTTCTAGGTTTTCCACTGGTGGTCTAACATCATTCAATTCATGATCTCAATCAAAAACTTAATAATAATAATCCATATTAATGAGTTGTTTATACTAATGTAATGGTTTACCTATAGCATTTACATTGTTTGCTTGTTTGTTTGTTTGTTTTTCTTAGCTAATGATTTGCAAATGATTATGGTGAATAATGTTACAAATGGTGTGAAGATTTTTGAAAATGGTAAGTTTAATGATCAATTTCAAGATGTACCCTTATTATAAGGGTAATTGAAAATGTTGATATAAAGTTACTCATGGGGTTGATACTATCATTTACAGACGAACCAATCAGATTAAAGATAACAGATCTCAGATTTTGGCGCGAAATTCATATATTCATTTGACTGAATAGAGTTTTAGCATTATAGCTTATGTCAATTCATGATGAAAACCCTAAATCTAATTCCTAATCGTAATCATCAACTGTAAATCATAATACTAATTCCTCAAAACAGGTTAATCACCCTCATTTGGTACTGATTATTTAGGTGAACACTGTCAAGATCAGTCTAGCGTCGTTCAAAGGTCGTCCATAAATTATCGTTTCACCATTTTGTCTTGTGAGTAACTAAGAAGAACAAAATATGATGCATTTATAGGAACAAAAGAAATGTACCTGTACCTGCCGTAACCAGCGGAGTTAATCAGTGTTCGGTAGAGACAGGTATCCACTTCAATACAATGGAAGATGGTCACGCAATCTTGTGGATTGGTTGGGGTTAAACATTAACACCGTTGAGTACCAGCTCAGTGATCTTGAGGTTAAGAGTTTGCATGCGAGACTGAAGGCTCTGAGTTCGAATCCTTCGGAGCAGGATCATGGATGTGCACTGCTGAGGAGTCTCACAATAGGAAGAAACGATCATCCAGTGCTTTCAGGTTTTCCAATGGTGGTCTAACATCAATCGTTTCATGATCCCAATCAAGAACCTAATAATCTCCACAATCCTATGCTGATGATTTTTTTTAATACAAAATGTTTATCTGATGTAGAATAGTCTTTGAGAAGGCTGGTTACTTACTATTTATTTTGTTGAATTTATAGAATCTTACAGGCTAGAAAACCTACAAGAAGCGGGATGGATTTTGAAACTTGTTAAATGTAAGTTACTCTACATAACTATATATATGTATTGGATATTATATAACGCGTATAAATACAATAGTTTTAGTAACCCATCATCAGCGTACATAGTAAATCATGATGAACTGCCGGTTGTTTTCTCATCAGTTTTAAGTTTGACAATTTCTAAGACAAGTTAAACACAATACACATCTTCTTACTAACAGATCTAGTGCTTCTAGTTTTTCCATAGTGGTCTAGCTTCAATTGACTCATGATTTCAACCAGTGAAATTTATAAATCTCCACAAAACCCATTCTGATAATAATCACCTGCTCAGTAGTGACTGACTTCGAGAAATACTCCTGGAGTTCTAGTGAGAAACCGTTACCAGTGGAGTTCAACTAGATCTGTTGTGAGATATCAACTCACTGAAGACAATGGTGTACGGTGGCGCAACTTCGTGGATTGGTTGAAGTTAGACATTAACACCGTTGGATGCCGGCTCAGTTATTTAGTTGGCTAATCGCCTGCCGCAAGACTGATAGGTCCTGGGTTAGAATCTCGCGGAGTGCGGGATCATAGATGCTCACTGCTGAGAAGTCCAATACTAAGACGAAACGGCCGTCCAGAGCTTCCAGCTCTTCCATAGTGGTCTAACTTCAATCGACTCATGATTTCAACCAGTAAGACCTAGATTTTGTCAAAGATAGAATATTTGAATGTAGATCGTTTCATTGATATAACTAATTCATCTGATTATCTATGAGAAAATAGAAGATAAGTGAGTAGGAATGCTATTCTGAACAATGTCAACTATCATACAAAACGCTCAAGTATCATCATTATAGTCAAGGATTTTCAGCATTTATCTAATAGGGAAACTATACATAGAGATTTTAGAATATTCTTCCAAAAGATGATTGGATGGAATATCTTCAACTATTTCTGTGCTTCTTAAAGTTCACTCGTAAGACCATCTTTACAATAAGGATCATAAGAATGTATGATAGCAAAGGTGTACTAATTAGATAATATTTTGACAGAATACCAATCAAACATTTCTCATACGATCATAGTTTTGATCTTGGATATCAATATGTTTACTTTATCATTTATTGTAGCTATCGATTTTAATGATACTGAACTATTGAAATCTTATTCTGGTATGTTACATTCATTATAATGTACAATCTCTCTATCTACATATATTTGCTGATTTTACTATGAAAGGGGTGTTTTTTTGAATATTATAGTAATTTCAATAGTTGAGTTCATGAGTCAGTTGAAGCTAGACCATCATAGAAAACCTGGATGCATTGAACGGCCGTTTCGTTTTAGTGTAGGACTCCATAGTAGTGCGTATCCATGACCCCGCCTCGTGAGATTCGAATACAGGACTTATCCGTCTCGAGCACGACCGCTTAACCTCTAGACTACTGAACTTGTCGGCATTCAACGGTGTTAATATCTAACTTCAACTAATCCACGAAATTGAGCGACACTTCCACCATTGTCTTCAGTGATTTACTATCTTACAACAGACCCGGTTGAACTCCACTGGTTACTGCTTCTCACTAGAACTCCAGGAAGTACCTCTTGAAGCCAGTTACTAGTGAGCGTATGTAGATCGATATCAGAAGTCGTTTTTGTGCATATCATAGTAATTTCAATAGTTGAGTTCATGAGTCAGTTGAAGCTAGACCACTATGGAAAATCTGGAAGCACTGAACGGCCGTTTGGATCTAGTGTAGGACTCCATAGCAGTGCGTATTCATGATCTTACCCCGCGGGATTCGAACGCAGGACCTATTGGAATTAGATTTATTGAACATGAGAATTGGAATGAGAAACTACAAATAACCACTCAACATTTTCTCTGTATTTGTACATAAATATTTGACAGTCGTTTTTGAAGACGTTTAACTGGTGTTTGTGAAATATCATGTAGATGATAGGCAAGATTATGGTGTTTATTCATCATTGACTGAGTATTCAACCTAATGTTCAAAGACATCTATTAAATATGTTACAGATTCGAATGATTGAGATAACGGTTTGAACTTGAAAGAAATCTAATCTAAATTTTATCAATTTGATTATCTTAGCACAGAATTTCAAACCTTCATTCATTGTAAAGATTCCAGTTTACGTCTGTGACCAGTGGAGCTAATCCGTATCCAGTAGAGACAGGTACCTACCTCATTACAATAGAAGATCGTCGCGCTATCTCGTGGATTGGTTAATATTAAACATTAACACCGTTGGATGCCGGCCGGCTCAATGATTCAGAGGTTAGGCATTCGTGCGCGTAACCGAAGTTCTTGGGTTTGTGTATGCGCACTTCCAAGGAATCCCACTATAGGACGAAACAGCTGTTCAGTACTTCTAGATTTTTAATGGTGGTCTAGCTTCAATCGGTTCATGATTTCAATCAAAAACTCATTAGGAAGTTTCCACATCAGCTATAGCTACAATATAACTAAACATTTTGAATGTTTTACGAACATACACTTTGTCTAGACGCATATTGTCCAAACGTCTGACATTTGTGTATGTGTGATTAAACAGTGATTAAACCATATTGAATAAACTAATGAAATATCTATTACAGATGATATTTACGAAAGCATTCATAGACGCTTACTATTCTTGAACATAAATCATGTTGACAATAGAACAGTCATGATTACATAACTCTTCATTATTACGATTGCATAGCCAATAGATTTGTCTTTCCTTTTTTGTTTTAGAAAAATATCTACGAGCAGCTGAAATAAAAAGAGTCCAATACTCTGGACCATCTTGTAAGTTCTAAACAAATGTTATTAACTAAGTGGTTATTTACTACTATAAATCTTTGTTTTCAAGTTACTATGGTTGTTTAAGTTTATGATTAAGTGGTGAAATAGACTAATCGTCATCGTTCGACTTCTGTTGGTTCATGAGACAATTACCCAATTGTTCCATGGTTACAACGAAATGATGTTCGTTGGATTTTCGCCGGTAGTAATATTTGGATTTCTTGGGAGTAACAGGCGTAAGTAAATAAGTAACTATTATCTCATCTGGACATTTCATAGTCAATGAAATCCAAATATTACTACCGGCGAAAATCCAACGAACATCATTTCGTTGTAACCATGGAACAATTGGGTAATTGTCTCATGAACCAAGAGAAGTCGAACGATGACGATTAGTCTGTATCACCACTTAATCATAAACGTAAACAACCATAGTAACTTGAAAACAAAGATTTATAGTAGTAAATAGCCACTTAGTTAATAACATTTGTTTAGGACTTACAAGTTGATCGAGAGTATTGAATTGTTTTTATTCCAGATACTCGTAGATATTTTGCTAAAACAAAACAAAAAGAAGACAAATCTATTGGCTATGCAGTCGTAATAATGAAGAGTTATGTAATCATGACTGTTTTATTCTCAACATGATTTATGTTCAAGAATAGTAAGCATCTATGAATGCTTTCGTAAATATCATCTGTAATAGATATTTCATTAGTTTATTCAATATGGTTTAATCACTGTTTAATCACACATACACAAATGTCAGACGTTTGGACAATATGCGTCTAGACAAAGTGTTAGTTATATTGTAGCTATAGGTGATGTGGAAACTTCCTAATGAGTTTTTGATTGAAATCATGAACCGATTGAAGCTAGACCACCATTAAAAATCTAGAAGTACTGAACAGCTGTTTCGTCCTATAGTGGGATTCCTTGGAAGTGCGCATACACAAACCCAAGAACTTCGGTTACGCGCACGAATGCCTAACCTCTGAATCATTGAGTCGGCCGGCATCCAGCGGTGTTAATGTTTAATATTAACCGATCCACGAGATTGTGCGACGATCTTCTATTGTAATGAGGTAGGTACCTGTCTCTACTGGATACGGATTAGCTCCACTGGTCACAGACGTAAACTGGAATCTTTACAATGAATGAAGGTTTGAAATTGTGTGCTAAGATAATCAACTTGATAAAATTTAGATTAGATTTCTTTCAAGTTCAAACCGTTATCTCAATCATTCGAATCTGTAACATATTTAATAGATGTCTTTGAACATTAGGTTGAATACTCAGTCAATGATGAATAAACACCATAATCTTGCCTATCATCTACATGATATTTCACAAACACCAGTTAAACGTCTTCAAAAACGACTGTCAAATATTTATGTACAAATACAGAGAAAATGTTGAGTGGTTATTTGTAGTTTCTCATTCCAATTCTCATGTTCAATAAATCTAATTCCAATAGGTCCTGCGTTCGAATCCCGCGGAGTAGGATCACGGATGTGTACTGCTAAGGAGTCCTACACTAGAACGAAACGGCCATTCAGTGCTTTCAGTTTTTCCATGGTGTTCTAGCTTCAATTGACTCATGAACTCAACTACTAAAATTATTATAATATCCACAAAAACCCCTTCTGATATCGATCAGCATACGCTCACTAGTAACTGGCTTCAAGAGGTACTTTCCTGGAGTTCTAGTGAGAAGCAGTGACCAGTGGAGTTCAACCGAGTCTGTTGTCAGATAGTAACTCATTGAAGACAACAGTGGATGGTGTCGCTCAATTTCGTGGATTACTTGAAGTTACACATTAACACCGTTGAATGCTGGCAAGTTCAGTGGTCTAGAGGTTAAGCGTTCACTCACGAGATCGATAGGTCCTGGGTTTGAATATCGCGAAGCGGGGTCATGAATACGCACTGCTACGGAGTCCTACACAAAAACGTGACGGCCGTTCAATGCATCCAGGTTTTTTATAATGGTCTAGCTTCAATTGACTCATGAACTCAACTATTGAAATTACTATAATATTCATAAAAAACACCCCTTTCATAGTAAAATCACCAAATATATGTAGATAGATAGATTGTACATTATTATGAATGTAACATACCAGAATAAGTTTTCAATAGTTCAGTATTATTTGGATCGATAGCTACAATAAATGATAAAGTAAACATATTGATATCCAAGATCAAAACTATGATCGTATAAGAAATGTTTGATTGGTATTCTGTCAAAATATTACCTAATTAGTACACTTTTACTATCATACATTCTTATGATCCTTATTGTAGAGATGGTCCACGAGTGAACTTGAAGAAGCACAGAAATAGTTGAAGATATTCCATCCAATCTTCTTTCGGAAGAATATTTTAAAATCTCTATGTATAGTTTCCCTATTAGATAAATGCTGAAAATCCTTGACTATAATGATGATACTTGAGCGTTTTGTATCATAGTTGACATTGTTCAGAATAGCATTCCTACTCACTTATCTTCTATCTTCTCATTTGCAACTCGGGAGGTTCTAGCGTTTGAGTGCTCGAAACGTATGTGATATATCAAGAACCTAAGCTCTAGATATAACACTTATTTATAAAAATACATAATCAGATGAATTAGTTATATCAATGAAACGATCTACATTCAAATATTCTATCTTTGACAAAATCTAGATCTTACTGGTTGAAATCATGAGTCGATTGAAGCTAGACCACTATGGAAGATCTGGAAGCTCTGGACGGCCGTTTCGTCTTAGTATTGGACTTCTCAGCAGTGAGCATCTATGATCCCGCACTCCGCGAGATTCTAACCCAGGACCTATCAGTCTCGCGGCAGGCGATTAGCCAACTAAATCACTGAGCCGGCATCCAACGGTGTTAATGTCTAACTTCAACCAATCCACGAAGTTGCGCCACCGTACACCATTGTCTTCAGTGAGTTGATATCTCACAACAGATCTAGTTGAACTCCACTGGTAACGGTTTCTCACTAGAACTCCAGGAGTATTTCTCGAAGTCAGTCACTACTGAGCAGGTGATTATTATCAGAATGGGTTTTGTGGAGATTTATAAATTTCACTGGTTGAAATCATGAGTTAATTGAAGCTAAACCACTATGGAAAACCTGAAAGCACTAGATCTGTTAGTAAGAAGATGTGTATTGTGTTTAACTTGTCTTAGAAATTGTCAAACTTAAAACTGATGAGAAAACAACCGGCAGTTCATCATGATTTACTATGTACGCTGATGATGGGTTACTAAAACTATTGTATTTATACGCGTTATATAATATCCAATACATATATGTAGTTATGTAGAGTAACCTACATTTAACAAGTTCCAAAATCCATTCCGCTTCTAGTAGGTT